GAGCAACACCTTACGTCTTGGCACCTGTTTGATCCAAGAGAGTAGTTCTTCCCAGTTTGTAAAGGATTGTTGCGTAGGGGAAAGCCTTGTGAAGACCCTTGTCCATAGTTGTTCTGCATACCTACACCGAAAGAAAANANGTTCCCTTNTTTNTGTTTCTGCTGCACAAGTACAGCATAGTGGATTTGGCGCCACACCCCAAGCGTGTAATCGAGCTCTTGTGGGCAGCCTGTCAAGGTTTAGAACCNACATCATAAAAGCTTGCTTGGGAATAGACCCTTTGAACCAAACAACATCAAACCAATCTTTCTTTTCATCCGACGGTCTTAGTATCTCCCATGTTTTAGACGTAGAAAAACCATGACATTCAACTTCATTAATATACCACCCTATTTGATCCNCATTTGAAGCGTATGTTGGGTTGTTAAAGGTAGTGAGGATTGTGTGAAGTGCCATTGCTTGATCAGTTCTTGGAGATCGTAGCTTCCACCCTCGGTGATCACAAGATTCAGCCACCGTAGCCTCTAGCGGAATACCCGTTGACTTAACCTCTAGCAGAATATACCCTAAAATATTTTTAACTTAAATTGTTTATTAAACTATGGAGATTAAGTAATGTTTAAACATTTCCTTTCTGTTAATATGCTAGGTCTCAACTAGACCTCTTTCCCATTCAAATACACCGGACATGTCGAGTTGAGATTCCCGTGGCGTTTCTCCAAGCATATCAGAGAATACGAGGAAAAGGTGTTGGAACGCATGTAGTAGATCCATCTTTTCCAGATCTGTGGCTGCTTCCGACGAGGATGTCAGGTCAAGGTTTGGAGTGACAAACACTCAAAAGTTTTGGAATAATGAACAAAACCAACAGATGAATCGTTTTACCATCTGGAGGACTAGTAATTCTACAACACAAAGATGCGATGCGCTTGTCGGACTCGGTACCTAAGAGAGAAAAACCAAAGAGTTCAATTCTCAATCAAGAGTGGTTTTGAGTCGCGTACCAAGGCCATTGCGAATAAGCATGAGAGCAAGTGCAAACACAACTGAGGGAAGAAGAACCCCGTAGTTTGCACACACAAGCTTTTGGAGATGCACGATTGCTTCCCCTATTACGTGATCCGACTTTCTCATGCTGCCTCCGAGATTCCTTTCCTTCAGAAATGTTTCTGGCTTTGTTTCACTCAATACTGTTGGGTTCGTATCATTAGCTTCAGATAAAGCTTTCCAAGAATCACTGAAGCCAACAGCCAGCGTAGAAACTTTGCTACCATAGTCTCTTCTTGATGAGACTCAATAGGCTTGGATCCCATTTTACGGTCAATCCTCAAGGCTGTGGAGGTTCCCCACAAAAGAAACCTTCTCAACTTGTCCACAAAAGGCGGGGTGCTCATTAGTATGGTATCAAGCCCACGCTCTGCACAAGCTTCGACTTGAGGGGAATCGCAATTAGCTGCAACAGCCTCAAAGAGCTGGAATATCCCCTCCATTGTGATGGTGAAATTGTGGCTGGCACATTTCTCGTTGCTGTGATATCTTTAGAGTAGCATATAGTATCTGCAAAATCAAATCTCGTATTGATACCAATCCACCACCTAAATCTCTGTATAAACGCGATGAGATTTCCATTAGCTCTTCGAGGGCAATTCTTTGCAACCACTCTGAAACATTTCTGGAGGCGAGTGCATCAGATATGATCTGACAATACAATACCACAAAGCAAATTCAGCAAACGAATACTGTATTCTACACAAGGACTCTTGAGGCAAACCAGACAACAATCAATGGTTGATGGACTAATACTGTAATTACCTCCAACACAACCACAAAGCGCGACTCTTCATCTCCAATGGGCGGCTTCGTACTAAACATTGAGATAAATGATGAACACCATGATAACAGATAACAGTTTCTAATTAGATGTCGGGCCGTCTTATGGAATTTGACAGACTTTCTCACAACCTGAAAAGTGAAAGAAAGACGGGTTTTGTCGTGTTGGATTTACGAGCTCATAGTTGCAGTAAAGATAAAAATATTCCCAGGATAAACCTTATATTATTGAGACTGCATATCACTAAGTGCCATTAAGTATCACCTCAAGGATTATTCCTTTAGTTTCAGCATCAGCAAGAGGAGTTGAGGAAAACCTCATCAATCTCTCAAGGACAGGGTTTCTATGTAAATTTGAGCATCGACTTCTGATTTCATGCCCGGATACATTAGGCGAAGTACCCAAAGCCTCTGTTCAACAGAGCTGCTTTCGAAAAAATCAGGAAACAAAAGCAGAGAGAAAAACCAAAAATAGTTTGAGTGGTGGCAAAGTGTAAAGGATAAAGACAAGAGTTTAAAGTTTCCAGAGAATAACTACCCTCAGCATCAGTGGATCTGATCTCTTCAAAAATTCAATTATGGGAACATAATGTTCACGAGAAGAATCCAACAATATCAGAGATGCCTCAGCGGCAAAAACAGCAGAAACACTTGGGATTCTTTGCCATGGTTCCTCAACTCCATTTTGTACATACGCCAGTAGAAGCATAAGTCCATCCTTTACATGCTTCTTCATCCAACAACACTACATCAAAATGTTTTAGTTCTCACCAGTGTCCACAGAAGCAAACAAAACAGGCCATGCATACATATAAAAGTTAACATAAAATAACTATTACCTTAAGGGCTTTTAAAAATCTCCCAAGAGTTGCATCGCCCAATTTTCGCATCCCAAGATCTGCTGAAGCATGCAAGCAAGCCTAAACTGGCGAATTCCACAGGTTCGAATAATCCCATGGACAATGAGTGCAGCGAGAATCGCAGGATGAAAGCCAGATCATATCTTTCAATTCAATAACAGGTGAGCATTTCTACACAGAGAGGAGGGATTAGTTTGAACCAAGTTTGAAAAATGCAACTACAAGTTACTTATAAACGAAAAGATGGGTACCTCGCTTAATGGATCATCATGTATGTAAGAGTTATCCGATACCTCTGCAGTATGTTGGTTAGGAAAATACAAAACAGTTAGAGCGCATATTTTGGGATCAACACAAATATTTTCTTTGAAAAGACGATGTCTTTGATCTTCCTCTAAATCAGCTTTCCCACCGTCCTGAAAGAAACACAGTCCCTCTCTTATTTCCAAGGCAGCCTTACCCCACAAACAATTTGTTTCAGAAACATTCAGCATGCTTTCGTCATCAATCAACTCGATATCATGCATCAACTTGTCGAGCTCTAAGTCGATTTCGCTCAGAGTTGCACCATAAGAAGACAAAAGAAGAAAATGCAGGTCTTTCATATTGATTCCTGAATCTTTTCCACATTTGGAGAGCAGCACTCTGAGATTTTTGGCAATTTCCAACTGCACCGCATAGTCAGGTGCTTCGAGACAACAACTTCAACTCCGACAGAATTTGGACTCGAGATGATAAGAATAATTCACCACTATGTGGGGACGATAGGGATAGAGAACTGAAACTCGGTGGAAGCCGAGTATCTAAGAGTTGGATGTATGGTGNATACNAGCACTTTCCTNTAGACAATAAGGAGAAAATTNCCGTCATTATCTTCAATGTCTTTGAGTCCTCAAATCTATACTGAAGAACTGATTCCATCAGTCTCTCAAGGAAAGGAAGGGAATCCAAGTGAACAAGCTCCTCGCATGCGTCTTCCAAAAACTTAAGAATACTTCTCAAAATGAAATTTTCAAGGCTTTTGCATAGGAACAGACACTTCTCTTGTTCTGCTTCAGAAATCTGTTTAAAACAATCATCAGATAGCTTGACAACACATTCCAAAGCATTTAGTAGCCGATTTAATAGACTTGCTCTGTTGGATCCTATTTCTGGAGAAGTTGCATTCACACAACTACTTGCTTCGTACATACTTCTATCCTCACGAAACAAACAAATCCTTGCAAGTTCTACTTTTGCAACTTCGTGGATAGCAACATTCAATATATGGTCTACTGGCCGAACGTCTACTTTTATCATTTTGTCAGCACTAGTGTCAGGAAACATGGAATATAATACCTTTAAGAGATCGTTTGTTCTAGTTGGACTTTCAGTCAACTGATACTGAAACATATGTACTGCCTTCCCAAGAAGACTTGCATCAAACATAGTGTCGATATCCTCAGTCGTCGACACAAGAATCTCTTCATACTTCTCTTCAAATATGCCCCCGGACGAAAAATCATTTACTAGTATATTTGAATAAACAGTTATATCCAAACACGGCTCTGGAGTTTTACAGAAACGGATGACAGATACGACAGCACAGCAGGCAGAAGCATGATAAACTGATCGGCTGTAAGCGCAGAGTGATCTTGTTGTTTGCTAAAGAAATGATGTCCAAATATTGACAGATGCAAGGGACTAGACTCCACAAGATATAACAATATCTTGGCTGATTAATGCAATAGATAATTAAGTCTTTAGGAGTTCTACCAACAATCTATGAAATTATCAGGTTCAACGCGTGAAAAACACTACGATGCTGATTATGTTTCCCCTTGAAAATGCCACCAAAAACTCTGAGCAAACAAGTATCTGCCGAAACCAAACCAAAAGAGGTAGAAAAGCTGCATGCCAGGCTATAGACTTCCTCAATGAGGTTACCCTCATAATTCTCTTCTTCTAATTGCCACATCAAATCATATACCCTTCTCTTAGAAGCCGTCTGCTGTGAATACAATATAAGCATTTCAAAAGCTCCACCAGCAATATCGAATCCCAAACTGAGAATGATTTTCGAATTTGGGCTACCTAATTCTTCCTCATTGATTTTCTTCAGCATAGAACGGGCAAGATATAAAAGTTTAACAGGTGATATAAATATCAACAAATCATGAATTAGTCGAGATGGTTGGAGAAGCGGAGCGTAATCTTGAGAACCAACGCAAAGCTCAAACTNGTCACTGAATACCAAGAGAAGCTTATTGACCAATTTCTTAAAAGCCATAATTGACTTATTTGCCTTGAGGTCCCCTTTCCGCACAATCAAACAAAATGTGCTCACAGGTAGATTAAGGATGTGTTGATCTATTTCACTAATCAATGACGCTTCTGAAAAAATCTCAACATTCTGCACTGGAGGTAATGTGCCACAATCCAAGGGACTCTCCACCAGTGCCATCACAACTGGGTGGCAAAGAACTGTCTGGGCCACTAAGTTTGCAAAAGGAGCAAGAAGCTTATCTGAAGAGCGTCCAGAAACAAGGTCCAGTTCTGATATTTGAGAGAACAAGGGCTTTATGATACGTAAGCAGATCTCAGAGCGTTGACAGAGTACCGAAGATGGTTGAACCTTGTAAGCTGATCGTATTTGAGAGAGCCAGAATAGTATTATATTGATATCCAATTCAATACTATCACTTTTAGGCTGCGCAAATTTTAGCAGAAGTAGCTCTGATATTCTTTTTGATGAAGAAGATATATCCATTATCATAACTGCGTTAAGTAACATGTGAAAAG